AGGTGGCCCGTCCCTTGAGCCATGGGCCCTGCAGGGGAGGCTGTGGCAGGTAGAGGCTGGGAGGGCTGGTGTGGTTCCGACACTCTGCCAGAGGACAGTGGTCTCGGTCACTGGGGGCACTGGGGCGTGCAGACCCGGCCTGGGGGTGGTGCTGTGGGCAGTGCGACATGCCCTCTCTGACTGCCCGGCCTGCTGCTCTCCCTGGTGCAGACCCGGCCTTTGTCGCCTCCTGGCCTCCCGCCGCCGGCCCGGGGGCTTGCTCCCGAGCTGGGCTGTCCCCGGGGCTCCCAAATCTGTTCTTCCCCTTCTTCCCCGCTCTGTGCCCCAGGGCACTGACCTCTGAGACTGGTGTCCGCTGTCCTTTCCGGCTCTCTGGTTTGCGCCTGGGTGTGGCTGGTGGAAGGCACTGCGGAGGGAGGTGGGGGGAGAGACTGTGTGCTGCACACGTGGTCGGGCCGTGGCCTCCCTGGGCCCCTCAGCCTTCCTGCTCTCTGGGGTTCTGAGACCTGCCCGGACCCGCCACTGCCCCCTAGTCACCACGCCACAGTCACTTCCACACTTGTGGCGACAATGGCCGGTGAGTTACCGGTCCCAGAAGTTTGCTCTGTAAAGGGTCAGACAGCAAATCTTTAGGCTTTTCTGCCTCTCCTCCTCTCACCCCCTCCCCGCCTCCGCCATTCCTCTCAAACTGCAAAGACTGTTCCCAGCTTGTAGGAGGAAACAGGCTGTGGGCAGCATCTGGCTGCGGGCGTGCTGAGGCTCACATGCCCCGAGGGACGGGGACCGGTGAGCGAGTCCCCGCTGCACAGACCACTCTGCATTCTTGCCCGGGGGACTCCCCTGTCTCTTGATCAGTCCCCCCACGTGGAGCCAGGGCCCTGGCCGTGTTTGGAGATGGGGGTGTCGCGGTTCTGGCCTGGGTGGGGGCCACCCGTGGGGGGAGGCTCTCTGTCCAAATGCTTCTGCTAACGTGGCACAGGAGTGACTGTCAGACCCTCCTCCGGAGACGCCAGCAGGGCGACGGGGAGCCAGTGTGGGCGGGAGGGGAGGGCGGCTCCTGCTGCGGGGAGGCCTTGGGTCCCATGCCACGGCCCCCGAGCCTTCAGGGGGCATGCTACAATTCTGTAAGGGTCACTCCTGGCCGCTTTGGTGACGCATCCTCAAGTGAGGCCCCATGACAAGCTCAGGGCCCAGTCCTGTGGGCTGCTGGGTCAGCTGCGTCCCAGTCCTGGCCCGTGGGCCTGCCTTTGTCAGCTATGCTTTTGTGGGGTGTCTTGGGTGGGTCTCCTGTTCACAAAGGGCCAGAGGCGTGTCTGCTGGTGCCAAGCACAGGGCCTGGTGCACAGTAGGTGCTTGGTAGACGTCAGTTCAGGGCCTGTCTTTCCTGGCTCAGATGGGACTTGAAGCCTTGCGGGAGAAGTCATGGAGGGCTGCCTGAAGGGGGCATCCTAAGAGATGGGAAGGCAGGAAAGGGTGTGCTGGGGTGGGGGCTCCTCACCTGAGACCCTGGCAGTGCTGGGCACTGTGGTGGAGTCCTCTGCTGGGGTTGGCCCAAGAGTCGACAGGGGGGTCTTATTTTCCCAAGATGCTGAAATCAGAGGAAAGTGGCAGGTGAGGGCCGGACCGTGTGTGCACTGAGGTGGGAGGGCTGCGTGGTGGACGGGAGGCCCTGGAAATGGCAGGAGGGAGGGACGAGCTGGTTGTGCTGTGCAGGGGTGGGGGCTGCGTGGTGGACGGGAGGACCTGGAAATGGCAGGAGGGAGCGACGAGCTGGTTGTGCTGTGCAGGGGTGGGGACTGGGCCGTGGGGAGCCTCACACTCAGCCTCTGCCTTTCTTTTGCACCCTGAGGACAGGGTCTGCGGGGAAAGGGTTTGAGGGTCGGGGTGACGAGGGGTGACCCTCATGGGCACCGTGCTGAGGCCTGGGTGCCTGTGTCGGTCCTTGGGGTCAGGCCCTGGAGGAAGGTGTGGGAGACCCGGGAGGGCCCTCCTTGTGGTCTCGGGGCCACCCACCTGGCCACTGGAAGGCCTTCTGCAGCTTGCCGCTGGCGGTGCTGCACTGGTGGGGGTCTGGCTTCCACCGGGCAGTCAGGAAGGACAGCTCAGTGTTGTCTTGTGCCTTCAGCATGAAGAGATTGGTCTTTGTGGCCTGGTCCTGCTTCTCCGAAACCAAGGTCACCTGCACTGACTCTCGGGAGTATCCTCTTGCCAAGCAGGCCAGGACTACGGGGTCGCCTTCTTTCGGGGCTTGACACCCCGAGACCAAGGGGAACACGTGCAGCGCTTCTCCGGAGGCTGAAAGACAGACACGGGGTTCCGGGGTTGGGGCTCCCAAGGGTGCGGGGTGGGGGTGTGTGGCAGGGCAGAGCCGGCCGAGTGGCTGGGGCTCCCACTGCGGAGCCCGAGGTTGGGGTTGCCCAGACCCCAGTGCAGGGTGGTCCCTCCGTGATGGGCCCGGGGCCATGTGTCCCCACACCCAGGGCTCCAGCTGCTGGCCCCTGGCCACCGCGGCCCAGGTGCCGTTTGCCTGCAGAGGGGCCACGTGGCCAGACTTCTGTGTGGTTCTCCGAGGAGTGGGTGGGGTCGGCCCTCCCCCCCGCCCCCCGACCCTGTGCCCTGGGGCGGGGTGGACAGGCTGTGCTGCACACTGGGCCCTACGGGCGGCAGGTCCCAGGATGAGGGACTCCAGGTGGGCTGTCCCAGTCCCCTTGTCCTCTCCCCAGGGACCTGGCTGGCCAAGGGCGGCTGAGCAAGCGTGAGGTCCCTGAGGGCTCTGCTGTATCTTAGTCTGTGGGCCCGTTCCTCCTGGCTCCTGCCTCATCCCACGTCCCCCCAGGGCACCGTGCTGCCATTGCGTAGACAGGGTCAGTCATGCCCATTCTTCAGCCTGGACTGAGGTTGTCTGGGTGGGTGGGGGTGCCAACCCCCCTCCTCACTGGTCCCCTGGGGGCGGGACCCACCTCTCTGCTCTCCCAAGCACCTGGCCACCGTGCCCCTGCCTTCTCCCATCCACATGCCAGAGGCCCCCGCTGTGCAGCCTCCCTGTCTTCCCCTCGGGCCCTGAACTTGGGTCTGTGGGCTGCATTGCACCCTAGACCCCAGTGCCTCAGAACGTGATCTTGTTGGGAGGACGCAGTCACAGTAGATAAAGTCATGAGGTCATACTGCCAGAGGGTGGGCTCCAAATGCAGCGTGACTGTCCTTACAAAAGGGGATATAGACATGAACAGGACGTGCTCTGCATGAGGAGGATGGTGGGACTGGGGGGACGACCGGTGATCAGACAGGCCTTATGCCAAGGATGATGGTGGGACTGGGGGGAGGACTACGGATCAGACACGGCGCTGCGAGCAAGGACGATGGTGGGACTGGGGGAGGACTAGGGATCAGACACAGCGCTGCGCGCGAGGACGACGGAGGGACTGGGGGGAGGACCATGATCAGACAGGGCGCTGCGCATGAGGACGACGGAAGGACTGGGGGGAGGACCAGAGATCAGACACGGTGCTGCGCGCGAGGACGACGGAGGGACTGGGGGGAAGACCAGTGATCAGACACGGCGTTGTGTGGGAGGATGATGGTGGGACTGGGGGGAGGAACAGTGATCAGACACGGCGTTGTGTGCGAGGACGACGGAGGGACTGGGGGGAGGATCAGGGATCAGACAGGGCGCTGCGCGTGAGGACGACGGTGGGACTGGGGGGAGGACCAGGGATCAGACACGGCGTTGTGTGCGAGGACGACGGAGGGACTGAGGGGGAGGACTAGGGATCAGACAGGGCGCTGAGCCCGAGGACGACAGTGGGATTGGAGGGAAGACCCAGGATTGGACACAACGGGCAGTCGCCAGGGTTGGGGGGCATGGAGGGAATGCGCCCCCAGAAGTGACATGGTCAGCGTCCGGCTCCCGCTGTGTCGGCTGCCGCAGGAGAAGAGGGGCATACACACTCCGGTGTCAGAAGTGGAGCACCGGACAGAGCTGACACGTGGAAGTACCCATGTGGTGTCAGAACCCGAGGCTGTGGTTCTGAGGTGCACGTCAGAAAAAGCCGGACTGCCTTGAAGACTGTGCGCATGAATTTGGATGTCACAGGCAATTCTGATGAGGGCTTGGAGAGGAAGGGAGGGCGGAGGGCCTCATGTCTCGGCTGTGGGCCGTGTGGACACGCGGCTCGGGACGTTTCTGAGCAAAGTGCCAGAGGAGGGGCTGGGCCTCTGCTGTCTGCTCCTGGTGGATGTTGGAGAAGGGAGAGGGAGAGGAAGGCAGGGAGCTGGCAGAGAGGAGCCAGAACTAGAAGCTTTGGGAGGGTCTCTTCCTGTCTGGACACAGGGCCCAGGGTCTCGCCGGGCCTCCTTTTGCTAAGGCATCACCTGTGTGGTCCAAGCAAGCATGTCATAGCAGCCATGTGGCTACCCAGGAAAGGTCTGGCCTCCACCTGGGCCCTCGCTGCCACCGCCCCATGGCCTGTGGCCGCCCTGGCTATCTGTGCCGTGTCCAGGCGAGCCTCTGCCACGGGTCCCACCCCCGCCTCTGCCACGGCCTGGCCCTCGTCTACGGTGGCCTGGGGGGACGGAGACTGTTCTTGTGCCTCCCCTCCACCAGATGCTCTCCTAACCGTCTCACCAGAAACTTCTCCTCCCATCCACACGCCCCAGATGCCTCAGCAGGTGGGACAAACCCTCGGGACAGGGACTTGTAGGTGGAGAGCCCTGTTGGAGAGCCCTGAGGCCCAAGCTTGGTTGCTGGCTCCCGACGTGATTGGGACCCTCTCGAGCTCGGCTGCCGTCCTTCAGCAGACTGGATGAGCCTGAGACTCTGGGTCTCCCTCACGGAGATCTTTCCTCCATGTCCCCTGGCAGGCAGTGTGCAGACAGACCCCCCCCTTTCTCACACACGCTTCGCAACGAGGGATGGCCACCCCTGGATGCACACACAGCACACATGGGTGCAGTTCGGGATAAAGAGCCTTCACGAGGAAGCAGTTTCACAGGATAAAATATACACATTTATTTCAAGGTGACATGTGTGCACACTGCAGAGCGGTGCTGCGTCCACAGCACTTGGCCTGGTCTTGAGAAGCCTGTGTCTTTGGGTGGCAAGCGGGAGGGGTGACGTGGGAAGGATTTAAGTGCAAGTCGACAGGGTCTGCAGGCTGGGAACCCCAGGCCCCAAGGCGGTGCCCCCCTGGGTCCCATCTTCTGGGTCTCTGAAGTTCTTAGCGGGGAGGGTCATTTCACCTGCAGACGACAGACACATGAGCTGTTTCCCTGCTGCCCGAGGACAGTGGGTCAGGCTCAGCCTGAGGCCATCTGTGCCCTCCCCCTCCAGGCTGCCACTACCTTGAACAGGGTGACTGTGGTGCTGTAGAAGACGCTGAGGAGGAAGAGAACGATGAAGGTGGAGGCCATGGTGTTCAGATTCTCGAAGCCCTCCTCCTCGGCGCTCACCTCCCCCTCTGCAGGGGACACAGCACAGAGGGGTCAGGCCCAGCACCAGCACAGTCCAGCCCCAGAACCACCCTCGGCCCTCGGCTGTGCTGCACCCGGGAGGGACAGGTGGGGCAGGAGAGGGTGTCCATGGCCTCCTGGCCTTGCAGTCTCCCTTGCACCCACCTTGTGGGGCTGAGGGCTCCTGGGCTCAGTCGGGAAGGGTCTAAGCCAAGCGTTAGCTGGGCCTTGACAGCCCAAAGCAGGGGGCCAGGTGGAGGCAGAATGTGGCCAAAGCAGAGCAGGGTAGCCCTGAGCACCTTGTCTAGGAGCCCTGGGATGGCAGAGAGTGCGACAGAGAAACATAGACGTGGGGGTGCGGCCTGGGCTGGGGCCGGAGGCAGTGACCCCAGAAGAGTGGCTCACAGTGTCCTGAGCTCTCCTGTGGGGTGTGGTGACACAGCCGTAGCCACCTGCGGCTGAGAGGCACAGAGCAGGGCCCCCTGCCACCTGTGGTTTGGGACAGGTGTGGCCCTGGCCACCGAGGCCAGCGAGGGCTGGCAGTGAGGAGCTGGCAGATGTCTGGGCCCAAAGGGACCTCTTCACTTCCTAGTGAGATTCCCACTCGCTGTCTCTCCTTCTGGGAGTGACTAGCATTTGTGGGGCCCTGGCTGGCTTGTCTGCCCTCCCAGAACTCTGGGGCCAAAGGGTCAGACAGAGCCCTGAGGCTCCAGGGAGGCTAACACTGGGGTGGTCAGGCTGAGGACACTCAGTGGGGTCTGCAGCCCCTGCACAGGTGAACTCAGGTGCCCAAGGGCTTGGTGCCAGAGAGGGCCTGGGACGGGGCCCGAAGGGGGCTGTGTTGCCTTTGCCCATTCAGGAGAGGAGATCCTACTCAGGCCCCTCCCCTTTTCTGCCCACTGGGCTCTGTTCTCCCTCACTCCTGCTCCTGGGGCCTCACTTCCCACCCTTTCCAGGGCTGGGTGTTTGCAGGGGCTCCCCACTCAGATCACGCTTTCTACAGCCTCCTTCTAGGGAGGGGCCTCCCCACCTCTGGGGCCGGTGTCCAGGCACTGCCTGCCTTGTCCATTCACCCGTGGGTGCCTGGGCATGGCAGGGGCTTCCTTTGGCCCCGGGCCTGCCAACGGTGGCTATGGTCAGTGCCCAGGCTGGGCCAGCCCATGGACACACCTCCGAGCTGAGACAGAAGGACGAGCAGAGCGTGGGCATGAAGGCCTGCAGAAAGTGACGTGGCTGGAGAGGGCGGAAGTGCCTGCCTGAGGCACCGAGTGACCTCGTGTGTGCACGTCAGTGTATCTGTGACTGTGTGTATGTGTGTGTACCTATGTGTGCATGTGTCTGCGTGTGTCCACATGTATGGGTGTGTGCTTGTATGTATGTGTGTGCATGTCCATATCCCTGTGCATCTCTGTGTGTGTATGCAAGTTCCTCCACGTCTATGTCCATGGGTGTGTATGCATGTGTATTTGCACCCACGTACAGTGCATGAGTGCCTGTGTCCATGTACATGTGTGTTTCCTGTGTGTGTGTTTACATGCCTGCATGGGTGTGCATGTGTGTGTCTGTGTGTCCATGTTTCTGTGCCTGTGCATGTGTAAGTACCCATGTGCATGCACGTGTGTGCCTGTGTGCATGTGTGTGTCCATGTGTCTCTGTGTGTGCATGTGTGCATGTGTGTGTGTCCATGTGTCTGTGTCTGTGTGTGCATGTGTGTGCATGTGTGTGTGTCCATGTGTCCATGCCTGTGTGTAAGTACCCATGTGCATGCACGTGTGTGCCTGTGTGCATGCGTGTGTGTCCATGTGTCTGTGTGTCCATGTGTCCATGCCTGTGCACGTGGAAGTACCCGTGTGCATGCACGTATAAGATTGCATGTGTGTGCATGTGTGTGTGTCCATGTGTCTGTGTGTGTGCATGTGTGCAGGTGTGTGTATGTGTGTGAGTCCATGTGTCTGTGCCCGTGCGTAAGTACCCATGTGCACGCACATGTGTGCCTGTGTGCATGCGGGTGTGTCCATGTGTCTGTGTCTGTGTGTGTACAGGTACCCACGTGCATGCACATATAAGCCTGCACATGTGTGCATGTGTCCGTGTGTGTGTACGTGTGTGCCACACACCTGGGTGGCCATGAGAGCAGCGAGAGGAGCACGGAGACTTTCAGAGGCTGGGTGGGGGCAGGGGCGGTGGTGGAGGTTGGTCTGGGGGTGAGGACAGCACAGCTGTGGCCCCGGTAGGCGAGAGCATCGCTCACTCAGGACGAGCATCTTTTGAATGGATGTTTTTATTTCTAATTTTGATAAAACGCCACATCTCACCCCATTGACACGGTTAGTTTGCACACATGCACACACAGCGACGGGTTCCCCAGGGACTCTGGGATCCACCCAGAGTGGGGCGGCCCACAGGTCAGTAGCAGGTGGTGGCCGTGTCAGACAAGACCAGGGACACGTTGTACAGGGTGGGTTTACCGGTGGACTTGTCCACGCTCCTCTCCGTCACCATGTGGGGCAGGGCCTCGTGGCCCACAACACAGGTGTAGGTCTCCCCCGAGCTCCACTCCTCCTCACTCACAGTCAGGGTGCTGTGGACAAAGTAGAGGTGGGGGTCCTGGGGCTCGGGTGTCGGGTCACTGGTCACGTAACTCTCAGAGGACATGGGTTGGCCTTTCTGCAGCCATTGCACGAACACATCTGCGGGTGAGAAGCCCTTCACCAGGCAAGTGACTGTGGCTGACTCCCGCAGGCTCAGCTGCTCCCGGCTGGGTGGCAGGACGTAGACAGAGGGCGGTTGTTTGTTGACGTCTGTGGGAGGAAAGGCGGCTGTTAGCTCAGGTGGGGGGCTGGGGGGAGAGGCTGTGGGAGAGTCCCGGGGCAGAAGAGAAGCAGACTCCTACCCTTGGGTTTAGAGATGGTCTTCTTCAGTGGCGAGGGCAGATCTGTGTGGGTCACCGTGCAGGTGAAGTCCTCCCCTGACTCCCAGTCCTCTGCACAGACGGTGGCCTCCCCCGTGGCACTGAAGGTGTTGTTGAGGTTGCTCTGGAAGATGGTGGTGGTTGGCAGAAAGTCGCCATTCTGGCGGGTCCAGGAGATGTTCAGGCTGTCGCGGGTGGTCAGGTCTACGACCCTGCAGGACAGCTTGGCCGACTTGGTTTGGAAGATGCTGGCGAAGGTGGGGGGAATGGCGAAGATTCTGATGCTGGCCTGCGTGTCTGGATCGGGAGAGAGCTTGTGTCAGTGACTGGCTGGATGGGCAACCGGGCAAAGGGGGGAGGTTTTCCCAAGAGAACAGAAGCTGGCCACGCCGAGCCTTCCTGAGCCCCAAGGACCCCTTGGAGGGGATGCTGGGCCCCCCCACCTGACAAGTGGCCCCCTCCCTGCCCTTGGCCGCTCCAGGAAGCCAAGGCTCAGGAAGCGGCTGCCCTGAGTGGACACCTATGAATGTGAGGAGGGGTCCCTGCCCCGAGGGGCTGCACCAGGGGCCAGGACCACTCACTGAGGATGCATGCGGAGGACACGTTCTTCTTGAAGGTCAGCCCATTGTGCTCCACATTGCAAGTGAACACGCTCTGGCTGAGCCAGGCATTCTCGGTGATGGTCAGCGTGCTGAGCACCCTGAAGGTCACGGGCCCGGGCCCTTGGTTCTCAGCCTCCACGTTGCCTGGGTTGAAGCCTGACTTGATGGGCTTTCCATCACGAAGCCAGGACACAGAGATCTTCTTGGGGCTGAAGCCTGTTGCCTGACAGAGGAGCTGGGACGTGCGCTGGTTGTTGTCAGAGAAGGCGTCACGGGGTGGGATGAAGACAGTCACGTTGGGGGACAGCTCTAAAGGCACTGCGGTGAAGGGGACAAGACGTCAGCCCACCTGACCCCCCTCCCTGCCCCCATCCCCGGCCATGGGTAGGAGAGCCCGACTCTCACCTGGGATGGGCACGTTCACCTCACTGTTGCCCTGGGGGTGTTTCACATTGCATGTGAGGAAGTCATCTGAACCCTGGAGGACGTCCACGGAGGGCAGGAGCACCTGAGAGGTAGCCACGTACTTGCCCTCTCTCAGGACTGGAGGGAAGGTCTGGATGTCCTGGTTGTTGACCACACTGTTGTTCTTGTAGTTCCAGGAGAAGGTGACGGAGCTGGGCAGGAAGTCCCGGGCCAGGCAGCCCATGGCCACCAGGGGCTCATCGGACAGGGAGCTCTCACAGGTGATGAGGGGGAAGAGATTTGGACGGGATGAGGTCTCTGAGGACCAGAGAGGGACAAGAGACAGGGGTGAGAAGGCGTCTCCTTCCCACGCTCTGCCAGGCGGGCCAACGCCAACCACATGGCTCCCTCATTTCACTACCACGAGGGCTGCCCTCGCGGCCTCCCCAGCCTGGACCGACGGCGCAGTGGGCAGCTGTGTCGAGGCCCAGGTCCTGCTGCGAAGGGGAGGCAAGGTGGCCCCTGCCCTGCTGCAGAAGTCCAGCTCTGGGCTTGTGGGAAGTTGGGGGTGCTTCACGCTGGGAGGGGCGGATGTGACCTCCTCCCAGCACCTGCCACCCTTGCACTCAAGTGCACTCTGGTGCCTGGCTCTCAGCTCAGGACAGCTCGGCCCTGACTGGCGGTGCCTTCCCTCTGAGACCCCAGAGCCACGTAGGCACACTCAGCCACGAGCCCCGTGAACCGTCCATGTGGCAGGCTGACAGCATGGAGAGAGGACCCCCCAAGCACCCAGACAGACCACCAGCCCAGGCCTGTGTGTCTAGGGTCAGCAGAGACTGTGAACACGAGGAGTGGGAATTATGCAGATTCCTCTTGGCCCGTCCTTTGCACAACCAGGTCATTGAGGTCAGCCCAGTGTTAGTCAGGACAGTCCAGCAAGGCCAGGTCTCCCCAATTAGAACTAAGTGGCCCAACATGGGTTATTCTAGCACAAGCCTGGACATCAGACTCCTCTAAGCCAAGCCACTCAGAGAGTCCATTTCTGCTGGGCCAGCTCAGTGACCCTGATTAATTGGTTTGGTGTACTAACCCTAGCACACATCAGCCCAACCCAGCTCAGCCCAGCTCAGCTCAGCCCAGCTCAGCCCAGCTCA